GCGTGAAACGATTCGCTCGGATCGACCCCTGATTGATGTCTGTACTATCTGGCGTAATGCAATTTTTCATCGTGGGACTGAGTCTAGTGGTGGTTCAGGAAGAAGGGCTAGCGCATTCTCTTTGTAAACTGTTGTAAGTACGTCCACATTCCGCTGAACAACGGAAGTGGGAATAAATCACAATATTTTAGTGGGGTGACATATTGCCTTCAGACAAATGGTTGGAGCAGGAAACGTGTCTTGATAAATGAAATAAACTGCGACTGTGTGCAGCCTTTATAGCTTGAACCCAAATAGACTGACTGTCTTACAAATTTCTCATGAGTGATACTTTAAGTATGGACAAGTGTCATGCACCACAACGGTGTTTCTCATTGTACAGATAGCATACTGAAGCGGAGCTTAAGTAACGTGTTGGAAACGTAAAAATTTACACATGCTGATAGACAGAGCTACGTACAAATTGTATCCAGTTAGGAGGCGTAAGCCTATGACAAGGGTGTCATTACGATGGCATTGCGTCATGTAGGCAAACAGAGTGTATCGAAAACCTGTAGCAGTCAGCAAACATGAGTTGGGATTTAGGCATCTAAAAACACCACTGGATAAAATTTACAACATGGGGCGTTGTGTATTCACAAAAGGGGACAAATACCTCCATTATTATGTGGATGAGAGCAATTTTTTCCTCCTAAACTTCAAACGGCACTGAATAATTCTGGGTTAGAAGGGTCTGCAGATCCGCGTACGCTTTATGGGTTTGGAACTTATAGCTAGGTAGTAGATCACTGGTGTTTATTCACTTTGCATTGGGAAGTTGACGGTATTCGGACAAGATCCGAAGGTAATAGGAACTTACATGAAAGAATAACCAAGTCTCAAATCACGGCAATTTCGTCGCAATACCAATAATTTCACCTCAATCCTGTGGTCCAAAATTACACTATGAATGGGTGCGTAGTATTGCTTGAAGTTGGGAATTGATTATTTAGTTGAATGGTTCTCACTCTACCCTTGCACCCGATGAACATGGTAGATTGGTTTCATGTAAGAAGCTAAACGTTGTCCAGCAACAGCTCCCGAACTTTTCTGAAACGGGGATCTCCTGATAGGCGCCGAACCCTCTCCAGTTGATTGAAACATCTAGCTTATTTCTTCTGACTTGTCAACTTCCACATAGCTGCTCACTTCTGTCGTGCCACCTGATGATACCAAGAGGATGATTCCGAGGGTAAGTTTGAGCTATCCTTCCAGAGTCTTATTAGTCACTTGTCCCCTGCAAATCGAAATACGCCAACCAGAATGACGGAGAACACGTCTCAACCATTCACTGATCGCCACACTGTCCTCATAGAACGCTGGCTGGCACAACATCCAAACTATGAGTGTTACTGAAATCACTGCGATGTGACAAGCGTGCCGAAATGCGAATCCCGGGTTATAAGGCTCAACTGACTTTAGGCCAACAAATACTCAGAAACAATAAAATCAAAAGAATCCGATCTGCGATTCACAATCAGAAGTGTTGGGTCTTTTGAGGAAAACCTATTGAGCATGCTGTGACGCCGTCCAACTGGTGCATACACCAGAGAAAATTCGTTATCGCTTCAACGTATGGCCTCATCAAATAAGTTCCCTGGAGTTGTGCTTTCACCATCCACTACCAGCCGGTAACGTAAGGAATATACAGGGTTTGGCACATCAGACTATACAGTTTGAGCTAAATGCTTTGTTTGTCGATTTGGTTGTACACATTAGTCAACCGAACACAGTAAGCTGCGTTAGACCTTTTTTTGCCTACAGGAACAGCATAGACTTGGAATTTAAGACCACCGACCACTTTACGACTGAAGTTGCAAACGAATAACCCGATGGGACTACTTACTGACAGACCGAACAAACTAGGGTTATAATGTTTTATTGCGTTGCGTTTGGTAATTGAAACGTTAACAGCCGAATGAACCGAGACTATTGTGTATGATGATAAGGCAACAAAGAAGTAAGTCATAGGTCTCGGGGATTAGCATTGAGCAGTCACTGATTAGCGACTACACACCATTCCAGGTTGGTGGAACAAACCCAATGTTTAGTTGAGTATAGCCCGTCAATGGTGAAAACCGTAGGAACACTTCATCTTACATATGGAGTGGAATCCCCTGGGAAGCTAATTTATGGGACTGGGACATGCAATATCTGGTAAGAATGACAAACTGGCACATTCAAGGAGAGCCATGCCCATGGACATTATTCTGAAAGAATTACTTTGCTCGGATGTCTGATCCTAACAGACCTAGGGGGAAAATGGATGAAAATTTACAGACAGTCGTCTATCGGCTAAGTCTCGTTTGGGACCAACCATATGAGTGTAGTCCCAAAATACTTGAAAACTGACTCATTAACCCGAAGAAGCGACCTATGGGGATGTAAATACTAGCTTTTGCAGACAATCCCAAAATACTTGCAGAATATTCAAGACGAACTTGCTCAAATGTTATATATTTTTGCAACTACCAGCTAGCTGAATTGAGATAAACATCCACTGCGATACACCAAACTGTAGATTGTGAACGGTCATGAAAGTGCTCGATACGAAAGCCTCTAAACCGAATTAGTAGTATAAGTGATCATGACGCATAAGCGGACACGAACATCCTGAATACACTAACTCGCTCCGATACTCGGGGTCGTTCTCAGGGATACTGCTAGTGTTTTTGCATTCAAGCGTTTTCGTCAAGCCTTTAAAACACAATATGCCTTTCAAAGAACTATCCTAGACATGAGTCCTCGCATAGGAGAACGATATCTTTGGATTCATGTTTTTATAAACATTGAACATCTTTCTGAAGGAGAAGCCCGCACACGAGAGCGGTTAACTAAACCCGTAAATTGAACCGCCATACATGAAATTACCGGGTGAACTGGCTATCAAAGTGAGGCCAGCGTGAAATTGTGGTGCTAAGAAACTGAATCAAAACCTCAAAGGCTTCTTCGGGGTTAAGATCAAGTGGAGTTTCGGAAAGAACGGAATTCACTGGTTCCGAGTTTGTGAAACATTAGCCAGACCTTCCAGGGTCGGAAAATTCCTTTTGAAACGTACTGTTGCACAGTATACAACTCAAAGGACTGCTAGAGAGTCAGTACGCCAAAAATTACGTCTATTCACACGCCGTTGCGGAGCGAGTTTTATAACTTCACCTAACAGGATCAGCTCATGAAGGTCCACCGTGAAAAAAACACCATTGTGATCATACGGCAAATCAGATTTTCACATTGCTAGTCCTGAAAAGTTCAGAATGGCTGCATTCCGTTCATGTTACTCATAGCTGCATACGTAGATGGGCTAGAACTGCAATCCTGAACCTCCTGAACAATGCAACATGAGGAAACTATTTTTTGCGAAATAACGTATAAAACAGCTCTTACTAAATCGCAACTGCCGTTCGAAGGTGTATATGATCATCTGCGTGTCGGGCCATTGCGGAGGGGTTCCAGAAATTACCAGGCCTGTCCACAAACTGAGTCGGTTTCACAGAAAATTGTCCGTTTCATGTGACCTGCCCTCTACCATACCACAGATGGAAAAGCAGCGATCCGGCTAGGTGCTGACCGTACTGAACGTATGGATGAGAAGCTGGCACCGGAGGACCAAATTGGTGCATCCAGTTCACAACCGATAGGTATTCGAGTTCATTATCTTCTTGGTGGATAAAACTACACATCAAATGTCTCTGAGGAGTTGACAGTGACATCCAATAAGAAGAAACAGATAATGCCTATCTAGGCCCTCCGGAGGGGCAGTCGTTGAAGGTAGGGACTCAGCATCATCATCAATGTCAGCTGTAATAACCGCGTACTCGTCGTAGTGGTTGTAGCTGCCGCGGTTTCGTTCACCGATGTTTTGGGGGGGATAGGTACGGTGGGCTGTCAAGTGGGGGGGTTGGAAAAGGAGCTATGCATTGAAGGCAATCGATGCACGAGCGCCATTGAAAACGCGACTGGGCCATGTCTGATAATGTCTCTAGCCATTGATGTGGCCCGTCTCGGGGTCCCCATCCAGGAAGACGGCAGTGACCAGCGCAGCTGAGTTTGCTGGTAATGGCTTTCACACTTCGCTGCCAAGTCATTGTTTGACCGCCTCTGGCTCTCTTCCACCCTTCACAT